TATATATATATATATATATATATATATATATATATATATATATATATATATATCGTTCAAGGTTAATATATATATATATAGAATTATTTGTACAGATTTGTAGCAAGGTTAATATATATATATATATCGTGCTATTCACTTATAGAGCTTTACTTATATATATAAGGTGATACAGTATGTGTATTGGTTAATATATATATTTTATTTGTGAGGGAGATGGAAGGATCCACGAAGAGACATGAAGGCTCGGCTAACAAGTAACTACAACTGCAACACAGGTAATAAATGTTTAGGTTGGTGAGTGGTAGATAATGGTTGAGTTAGATAATAAATGTTTAGGTTAGTGGTAGATAATGGTTGAGTTACATAATGGTAAGTGTAGGTAATGGTAAGTGTAGGTAGTTAATGGTCGATATGTGAGTGTGATTATTGTCTTTAGGTATGTGTCTGGTCGAATTGGTTGAATATGATGAATGCTGTGATCAATGGTGAAGAAGTGCTAGTTTGTTTCTCTTCTATTAAAGCCATCTTTCTTCTCTTCCATTTTTCAAACACGCCTTCTTAGCAACAAAACACATTTCTTTTTCTTCTGTTCCATCTCGCTTATTTTAAAAAATCAGATATGGATGGTACTTCATATCGATTTGTTGATCTTCTTCAAAGCCAAGGAGATATTAGCTTCAGTGTTGGATCTTCTGGTATACCTCTTTCTCCAACTCAAGCTCCAGAAGTCACTAACTTGGACGAAGAGAATGCTCCAGGGCGTAAAGAAAGAAAGGTGTGGACACCTTCAGATGATGTAGTTCTGATCAGCTCCTGGTTAAACACCAGTAAAGATCCCGTGGTGGGGAATGAACAGAAATCTGTTGCTTTCTGGAGTAGAATAGCAGCGTACTACACTGCTAGTCCCAATGTTGCTGGTGAAAAAATAGAGGCCAGTCAGTGCAAGCAGAGATGGTACTTATTAAGTCCCAATGTCGTTGTTTAAGTTTCAAGTGTTTCTAATTTAAGTTCAAGTGTTTCTGTTTTAAATTAAAGTGTTTGTTGTTCTTGTTTGAGTTTTTTTTTGCTGTCTGATATTGATAAAACTTAAGAATAGTTCAATAATGTTGTTGTTCTTTTTCACATGCAGGAAAAGCACATGTCTTGTGTCAGGAGGAAAGTCACAAAGCCTGCTTACCATAAGATAGCATCACGGATTGTTGTTCTGTTTCACATGCAGGGAAACTTGCTGTCACAAAGTCACAGACTTGTTGTCTTGTACATGTGCATTTTGTAAGATAGCATCACGGACTTGTTGAATTTTGTTTCACGTGCAGGAAAACTACTGAATTTTGTAAGAATTATTAGTCACGGACTTGTTGAATTTTGTAAGAATACAATTGTATGAAACACAAAGCTTGTGTCTATATATTGCACAACTTCCTTTGCTTTTACATTACAACTTCCTTTGCTCTTTGATTACAACTTTCTCTCAACTATTTATCTTTTCGATCACAACTTTCTCTTTCTTAAAACTCAGCTTCTCTCTTCTTTTCCTTTTTATGGCTTCTTCCTCTCAAAACAATTTAGATGATTCTTTTGATGATAAATTTGATGAGTTCTTTGATCAAGCTTTTGATAAAATGTTGATTCATTGTGATCAAAAAGAAAGAAGAGCAAAAAGAAAAAAACGAGCTTATATCGAAAGAAATCGTGAAGAAGGACATATTCGTTTATGGAATGATTATTTCAGTGAAACTCCAACGTATCCTCCTAATATCTTCCGACGACGTTTTAGAATGAATAAGTCATTGTTCATGCGCATTGTTGATCGACTCTCCAACGAAGTTGAATATTTTCGAGAAAAAAGAGATGGTCTCGGAAGGATTAGTGTCTCTCCTTTTCAAAAGTGTACCGCAGCTATTCGTGTCTTGGCGTACGGTTCTGCAGGTGATGCTGTCGACGAATACCTCCGCCTCGCTGAATCAACAACTCGGTTATCTGTGGAAAATTTCGTGGAAGGAATAATAAATTTGTTCGGCGATGAGTACTTAAGAAGACCAACACCGACTGATCTCCAACGTTTACTCGATGTTGGAGAGTATCGTGGATTTCCCGGGATGATCGGAAGCATCGATTGTATGCATTGGGAGTGGAAAAATTGTCCCACCGCTTGGAAAGGCCAATATGCTCGTGGTTCAGGTAAACCAACAATCGTTTTAGAGGCGGTTGCGTCATACGATCTCTGGATATGGCATTCCTTTTTTGGATCTCCAGGTACATTAAATGATATCAATGTTCTTGATCGTTCACCTGTTTTTGATGACATAATAAATGGTAACGCTCCGAATGTCACTTTCTCTGTCAATGGAAGAGAATATCATATGGCTTACTATCTGACCGATGGTATTTATCCGAAATGGGCAACTTTTGTCCAATCTATTTCTCTACCACAAGTGCCGCAAGCAGTTCTATTTTCTCAACGCCAAGAAGCTGTCCGAAAAGATGTCGAGCGTGCTTTTGGCGTCTTGCAAGCTCGCTTTGCCATTGTTAAAAATCCAGCGCTGTTTTGGGATAAAGTCAAAATTGGGAAGATTATGAGAGCATGTATCATACTCCATAATATGATAGTAGAAGACGAACGAGATGGATACACTCAATATGATGTGGAAGAGTTCCAGCAAAGAGAAGACAACGGAAGTTCACATGTCGATCTCGCGTTTTCTACAGATATCCCTTCGAATATCGCAAATGAGATGAGTGTTCGGACAAAAATTCGTGATAGACAAATGCATCAACAACTGAAAAATGATTTGGTTCAACATATATGGCATAAATTTGGACGTGATGAAGACCACAACTGAGTTTGGGTGCTTCTTTTGAATAATTTTCGTTTATTTTACTAATCTTTGTTTTCATGTTTTAATTTTAATATCTATGTTTAAAATGTTATCTTTTATTATGTTTTATGTAATCAATAAATTTAAAATTTTAATAAAAAATGTTTAATAATTTTTTTTTTTAAAAACTCTAAATTAAGAGACTTGCAATGGAGGGGGAAAAGTGCCAAGGTTCTTAATCAAGTCTCTTATCAAAATACAATCCATAAATACTATTAAAAACAAATTAAGAGACCCATTAGGGTATATAGGATAAAGATGCTCTNTTATGTAATCAATAAATTTAAAATTTTAATAAAAAATGTTTAATAATTTTTTTTTTTAAAAACTCTAAATTAAGAGACTTGCAATGGAGGGGGAAAAGTGCCAAGGTTCTTAATCAAGTCTCTTATCAAAATACAATCCATAAATACTATTAAAAACAAATTAAGAGACCCATTAGGGTATATAGGATAAAGATGCTCTTATTGTTCACCTAACGGATTTGGTCTTAGTGAAGTCCACCGCAATGTTAAAATACAAGTCTCAAGTTGAAGCACTTTACATCGTGTATAATCTTCTTGTTTTAAATTGTTTCAGAGAGTTCAGTTTTGAGATAAATACATTAGTTTAAATTCTTACAATCCCATGCATATATTTTCTAATTAAAAAATTAAATCTTCATGTATTTATTTTGGAGGTAGAAGATAAATACGCCACCTGGTACATATGCAAGTATAGATACCAATAAGATATTTATAGATGATATGCATTGTGGTGTGTTGTCTCTGTAAATATGTGTACCACTAAGTGCGAATAAAAGGTACATAAGAACATCAAAACTTCAAAATGCATCTTAGTGGAATTTCATACACCCACTAATGTTTTGGCATTATTGTCGACTTTTAGCCTTTTGTGGACGGTTTAGGTGAAAATAATATATATGTATTGTAATTTGTAAGTGCACTATAACATATCCTCCGCTTTTTAACATCAACTTTAAAAATTTCACTTCTCTCTATCATCAATATTCTTTAAAATAAGTTAATAACAAAACGTTCTATAGATTATCTATAGATCATTTCTCAGGTCTCTCGTTCAAAATTCATTTCTGAAAATGGGTTACATTCAAGGTAAACCCAAAAGTACGTATTAAGATAGTGAGTTTTATTAAGCTTAGAACCGACTAGTTAGGCGTATAACACAATTAAAATCTATTCGACAAAGCTAACAACAATTCCAATCCAATATAATATATACTACGTCTTGACTCTTCTTTTCACAGTTTGCTGGCATCTCCATGAATTATATATGGTCTAGCCTGAGTGTACAATTAATATGTATTATATAAAGCTAACAACAAATCCAATAGAAGGCAAAGATTTGTAGTCTTGGGAGTTGGCATATAAATCAAGCCGAATCTGAACTAAATTGTTTTTTTTTATAGATGATCCAAATTATTTAAGTCAAAGCGAAAAAGTAGTTGTGTACATCCTATTTCATTATTTTATACAAAAACAACAAAGCCACCATAAAACATGTAGACTTATGAAACTCCATGAGTCGTTTGTATTATTCAATAGAACATATAAACAAACTGTATCCTAACTATTCAACCAGAGCCCTAATATACAACCACAGAACCCAAAAAAAAAAAAAACAAGTAAATATTCAAATGTCTTAGAGATTGTCGTATATGCATACAATCTAACACCCTTTTGTAGTGGGAGAGTAGGTGGTTACCGCACACTCAGGCTAGAGCATAGTTCACGAAGGTGGCAGCAAACTGTAGTGGTATGATTTTGATGTATCAAAGTATTAAACCCAAGGCATTGAAAACTGCCTCTCATAGATCATGGAACTGCATATGAGATGTCTGGACAGGTGGAAGTTAAGTATTGGAGAGCACCTCCCAATGTTCAGAATGTTGTCGGACGGACCACCATATCGAGGACTATTTGCAGCAGCGAGATTTGACTTAGTGTCCGCTGGAGTAAAGCAAGAACTGCACACTCTGATGAATGATTCTTAGAGATTTGAGAAAATACTTTAATACATAAACGTTTTGTTTAGACTATACTTAAGTTTGTGTTAAAAAAAAAAACAAAAAAAAAGGACTACTTGAGTCGATTCAAATTCTGATTTTGTACAAAACTAAAAAGGTAACATAGATAAATGGTGTGATTCTATAAAATATTGTTTATTTGTTTAACAAACCAAGAAATGCTACATGCCAAGCTTCCATAGCTGACTTAGTAAAATGCTACAAAATATTACATTTTGTTCTTTTACTGGAACATCATCCACTGTAACTGCTTTCTGAATCAGAACTCAGGTGTGTTTTTATTGCCTTCCAAGAACCTAAACCAAACTTGGCTCTCAAAAGTCAGAAACTTGAGATTTCATTCAAGTATAAAGCCAATTTTAATCAGGACGCTGGTTGAACCCCGTTCCATGCACGAGGATCATCAGCGAGTTCGTTGATCCTGTTGTTGCGGCTTTCTTGTACGTATGCTACACCAGCCCAAAGTCCACGTATAAGTAGAATGCTCGTAAATACTATAGTCCCAAGTGTGCAAGCTACCTGCATTCAACCATGTGAAATTACATATAAAAAAAAGCCAATCCAACATAAAAAAGCTATCATTCAACACTTTAAGCTAAGTATACAATAAATGACTCTTTTGATGACATAAGAACACTGAAGAAAATGCAAGCAACGTTAGCTCAAGACTCAAGAGTCCAACAACAGAGAGTCAAAACTTCGCACGTTACATATATATACGCAAACGGATTGATCCACATGCCTATCCATCGATAAAGGTAAATTAAGGTCTAAAGATTTATAATCAAAACACATAAGGGAGAGTCAAGTAAGTGAGACAGCTCACTAAACACTAAACACAGCTCTAAGCTCGATGAAACTGGATTCACTACAACTACTCACTAAACACAGCTCTAAGCTCGATGCTAGCCTCTCTAATTCAAACTTAGATATATATCAATTCACTAAACACTACTCTTCTAACATAGTCAGTGAATCCGAAAAGAAGATATACCAATCCACTCCTTGTTAACTAAATCATCTAAAGCTTCATAATTTAACGGAGTTTAGAGTATAATAACCTCGAGAAAGGCCTTCAAGATCCACAAAAACGCAAGTATAAGTACGCCATTCACTGAGAACCCCACCTACATCACAAAGGTTTTAACTTTAACTAAAATCCTCGATAAAAGAATCATCAATACGATTCCAAAGGTGGAGACTTTACCAGCTTGGTGGATATCGAAACAGGCAAGATTGATCGGACGGCTCTCCTAGCTCTCTTTGAAACCTTTCTAAAGACATTCTCCACAAACCTAAGTAAAAGATCCAAGCTTCTATCTTCTTCCTCCTCCTCGTGATCGTCTTCCTCTTCGTAATCCTCGTCATCGAACCTATACTCCGGTCTGATCTTCCTGTTCCAGCTCCGCGCACCGTCTTCGAAATCATCCCTCCCCTGTTCAAAAAAAAAAACAGTTTCAGAAAACGTGAATCGTGTGTACAGATACAAAAGTAGACAAAGAGAAGAATCGAATCTACGTTGATGAAATCGCGAGGTCGCCGGGAAGCAGAAAGGGAAGAAGGAAGATCGATTCTGGTTTTTCTGGAGAAGATTAGGGTTTTGGGAGTGAGTGGAGATCGAGTTCGAGGTGAGAGCAGAGCAAGAGAAGAAGGCGATGAGATTGATGCGGAAGATGGCATTGTTTCGTTATGCTACGCATCTTCAGACCGCTCTCTTTTTGTTCCTCTGTTTTGTAAGAACAAATTGAATTATTTTTTTATTTTTTTGGTAAAAACGAAACTTGAATTAATAATGACGCAATAATATATATATATATATACGTCTTAAAAATTATTTTATATTTTTACACATACTTGTAAAACATTCAAATCATGTATCACCTGGATGTGAAACTAATAACGAGGGTATTCAATGCATATATTAATATACATGATAACTAAGAAATTAATACATACCCACTAAAACAATTCTTTAGAACAATATTTATTTTGTAAGGAATATTTCCTTTACAACTACACTTAATACGATCATGAAAGGGAAGTAGAATTTGATTAGTGCAATAAGTGACTCACAGTAACTTTAGAGGAGCATGCAAAGTTAATTTGAAAGATTTTAGTTTGTATAAATGTAGTGGGATGGTGCTTAAAGGGATGGAGTGTATATTACACAGACCTTTTAAAAGGCCTTAAGTGAAGTTACTCTGTTCAGCTCCACTAGAGACTTGCAAAGCATTTTCTTGTGTGTTGTGGTACAGTGGTCTCGGCTCTAAAGATCAAAAAACATGTACTCGCGGTAGGTTAAGAATTGAGTCTACCGTGTGCAACAGTGCAAGCACTATGTTCAGACCATTTAAGTTATGTTTCTGATGGAGTTGCCAAGAATGAACATGTCAAAGAGGTTATTCTGCAATTCATATAAGAAAGAACAACAAGAGATGCATTCTTTGGAATACATAATACATTGATAGAAGATGATAGATATTCAGATACAAAGAAATCATATAGAGAACCTAACAAGTCAAGTAAAATTATAGAAAAATTGTTCCATTATAGAGATGCAAGTGCTGAAATTATAAATATAAATAGTATGCAAATGCCTAATAAAAATGGATCAACTAGTACAAAAATATTCCACACAGTTTATACTCGTTGGAACATGATAACACAAAGGCTACACAAATGAGATAATTAGAAAACGTACTTAACCAGTCCAGGAACATGTATATTCACAAAATAGTACTCGTCCCAATTGATCATCTTTGCAAGAACGAAACCAACACAACCAAGCAGCTATTTGCTAAGAGAAGGGGATTTATAATGCATATGTATATGTATATGAATGTATAGAGAGAGATATTACTATTTGCTAAGAAGCCAGCAGCTCCAATGACCAATATGGATTTGTTGTCAAGGTACTGAAGAACACTTACGACCTCTTTTTCTGTCGACATAATTTATGTTTGTAATTAAGCACGTTTGAGCGAGAGTAAGAATTTAACCGAGTACAAGAACAAAAGCACATGAGAGTCCAATTTATAATTTCAAGCTATACAAAGTGTAATCAATGTGATCACCTACATATTTGCTTTCTCCCAACCAGATCGCATGGTGAAGCAGATACATAAGCTTAACTTGAATTATTAAAGTATTCTCCCTTCGAACCTACCGACATTGAAGAGAAAATAGATGCAACCATATAGACCAAACTGGAGGCTAATTAAGGCATGATATGACGTCCCTCGCCATGATTTCTCATGATTAACACACAATAAGAATTTAAAGAAAAAAAAAAGATTATCACAGACACTTGTACTTTGGTAATGAATATTTCTAAATATAGAATTAAAGAATATTTCTAAAAATTAAAGAATTTAATGAGAGAAAATACGGCAGCTGATAATATCAGATTTTCAAACGAATAAAACTTCTAAATTTCTAATCAAAACAAATCAAAGAAATTTTATAATTATTTAAAGTCAACAAATAGATAAAATACATATTTTGTTCATGAAAAATATTCATATTTAAAATTTAGTTATATATATTACGTTTCAAGTTATAAGGTTATGTATAAAGAATATAATAACTTTAAAATTTTGACGACATTATATATTGTCATTTAAAATCTATCAGCTGAATGAAATTTGAATATTTGTCATGAACCAAATATGTATTTTATCTATTTGTTGACTTTAAATAATTATAAAATTTCTTTGATTTATTTTGGTATTATCATATTCTAAAATTATGTTGAATTGTATAATTTTCATGATTTTAGCTTGGGACAAGCTCAGATGAACCATAATGCAATCAGGCCCATTCGATCTTGTGCCGGTTGACGCTTCCAAACTCACTCAGAATTCTAACAATAGCTGAATCTTAAAAAGTAAAAACTGTAAAGCTCTTCAGCATTAGTTTTTCCCGATGGAATTTATAACTCTTCGAGTCTTCGAGTTGTATCAAAGAGGGATGCATATCAACGAGCAGAGAACAAGATTCGGTTGTGTTTTTGAAGAGGTTTAAGTTTCTTTTTCTTTAAGCTATTTATTTATGTTTTATGAAGGTTCTTCAAATTTAGATAAAACGTAGAGTAATAATACAATACAATTATGACTCGAGAGCAAAAAAAAGTGATTTTGTTCCCATGACTTTCTTTCTTGGCACTAATCTATTCATTTCTTGATTTTTTATTTCTTTTTCCTGCGCAACGAAAGTATTTTCTCCGTATTGCATTACATATTTCTAATAATTCTAATTATGGTTAGCTTTGTGGTGTTATGTTTTTTTTTTTTTAATTAAAGAAATTTGATTTATTTTTTCAGTAAAAATAGCTTTTGAAAAGAAGACTCTTATTCCTTTTTCTTTTTCCATTTTCTTTTGTAAACCAAAGACTCTTCCTTTAAGTTGAGAATTTACCGGTTCTGATTAGTTGTGGTCCATGAGTATACGCGTATGTTACATTGCTATTGTACACTCAGCGTGACCTGGTGTTATCAATATGTAATTATGTATGCTTAAAATATTCATAATCTGTAAGCTACTAAGCTAATCTACTCTCTATTTGGTTAGTTATTGTTTGTTTGAGATCCGCAGTAAAAGGAGGGAAAATACTGCTACATTACACTCACAGAAAATTGCAATTGGCGTGTTAAAAACAAAAAAAAAAAACATAAAGGCCGCTACAAGGAAAAAAAACTCGTTTGTGACGAAATTACGAATCACAAGATAAAAGGTTCAGATCCATTGGAGATTTGAGAGCTTATCTTTAGTCGATCCGATCCCTTCACTTGTGGGTTTCTTGTATAGCACTTCCTTTCGTAAGGACTATAAGATTCACTCTAATCATTTCTTGAATCCATAAAAGCTTCACAAGAGTAAAGAGTAAACAAGGATAACGTTTTAGTCAGGTTAGAGTATATACACTTGAGAAGAGTAAAGAGTAAACAAGTATATATATTACCTAAGTGGTTATTTAGAATTTCCGTATGCAAATAACCATATTGTTCTTGGAATGCTGTTTTGTCCTACTTGTTTAAACAAATAGACACATGAAGTGAGTCTCTTGAGACAAGTCACGTGTGCTCAAACAGAATCTCACTGAGTGAAGAGAGAGAGAGAAACCTGAAAGTGAGTTGCGGAGAAGCCTTGTGAATAATCCAATGTACATTCTGGAAAGGTTTCCTCTATCTTATTACCACAACCCACACTTTTCTGCAACATCTACAAGAAATATACAAAAAGGAAGATAAAATCAATACCATAAATATAAATCTTTTTTTGGTCACTACTAAGGCCAAACAAATCCTGGAATTCTCTGTGATGTAAATGTAGCTACGGATTTAATATATATCTATTACAAAAAAAATAATAGGTTGATCTTTGTCCTTGTCACTTGTGTTTACAAAAATTCTTTGAAAAGTAAAAGACTTACATGAGAACTAGCAGTGTCATCAAGTAGAGAGTTCATTTTCTCATTATCTCTCCTCTCCTTTTCTCTCTTGCTCTGTATCTTACGATCAACATTGTTTAAGTTTTTGACAGAACCTTCCTCATAAATATTCCTAGGACCAGAAGATGCATCTGAAATCATTGACAAATCTTCCTCTTCTTCTTGATGCACATAACTTTGGCTCCATGATTCTTTGCTTCTTCTTCTGTTATCAAACCCATTTGAGTCTCGGAAACAAGAAGGGCTTGGAGAAGAAGAAACAGAATGGTCTAAGTAAAGAGTCCATCCTGACTCGCATCCACTACTCCATTCTGAAGAACCCGACATTTCCTCTTCTTTTCGTTCTTGAGATTGAACTGCTGTAACAAGAAAAGATATGGTGAGAAAGGTTTAGAGAGAAAAAACAATGGGTGAAGAATCTACTCAATTTATACACATGCATGTATATGTATTTATCTTTATATCTATTTACTTAATTTTATTCAGTTTATTGGTCTTATACGGAGTTATATCTTATTTTAACTTATTATCATCGTCTCCTACTTCTTCTGCCTATTAATTTTCAAACCTTAGGTTTTTTTTTTTTATGCACATGCATGTATATGTATTTATCTTTCTATCTCTTTACTTAATTTTATTCAGTTTATTGGTCTTATACGGAGTTATATATTATTTTAACTTATTATCATCGTCTCCTACTTTTTCTGTCTATTAATTTTCAAACCTTAAGTTGGTCTAATAATTTTGGCTCTTGTTTTGTCGTTATTACAGCAACATATATGAACGAAATAGCATTAATAAAATCTAATGGATAAGTCGGCGTTATTTAGGCACACTCAACCTTTGCAAATTCGCATCATGTGAACTCGATTCAAAATTGTATAAATAAATTATATATCATACTTTGTTACTCTTTTCTTACAATGCCAGTGTGTAACATGGGAATGACATGCAACGTTCGTGGCCATACATTTTTCATTTGATCAAAACCGAACCTGCTTATTTATAAATTTCAGCAACATAAAAAATTAAACGACCGACGTATATCTAACTAGCCAGAGTGCAGTTCAATACTTGGTTTGGTTTATTAACAATGCCATACTAATAGAAAGTTTGCATGTGACATATTCTCCCAAAACTAGGCTAGCAGAGATAAATGCCCATTAATCATACATTATTATGTTTATAATTAGTATTTATATATGTTAATTTATAGTATTAGTGGGAGAAATTAGATGGTGCATGGGTCAAAGCGACTTCGACAGACAAGTGGTGACAAAGAAGATCCGAGCGGTCTATTGACTACGCTATAATGATATCACATGCTCTCATTGTTTTTCATTTTCTATTCCTTTTCGTACTAGCTAATTTAATTCTTACATAAAAACTATTAATTATTTCACTTTTATGTTCCTTTTCGTATATTTTGGCACTCTCTATATCTAGGATAACGAGACAGTGGTGTCATTATACGATGATTAAGCTTTGAGAAAGAGTAAGAAATGTTTTGCATAAAAGGTTTGTATATAAAAATCTTATTATCCGATTATATAATTTTCAGATATTTTTCTTTTGATGTAGACGATAAGAATACAGTGTGTTGGAAGTGATCTCTGTGTTTGGCACACATGCCACGTAAGAAAATAAGAACAAAAAAGGGGATTTGGTTGCTTGATATAACTTAAGGAAATTCTAAATAGCTATCAAAATCAGGCATGCATGTGGGCACGTGTGCACGTAAAAAAGAAATACGCAAGGTTCAACAAATTCACACATGTGCGCACGTGCAAGAACACGCACTTCGACCAACTACACATTTCTGCAAAGTTAGGCTCTTAAATGTGTCACCTTCTGATCCCTTTGCTGATAATTCCTATGCTCCCGACTTCGATGTTCCCGTCCTTCCATGTGTTCTCTTCGCTTTTTTTCACTTCCTTTCACATTTGTGTGTTTCTGCGTTTTCCAAGAGTTTAGAGTTTAATCTCTGCTTCGTGTGTAGAGTTTTAGCTTGATAACAAGAAAATTAACTTGTATAAGAATCAAAAATGTTAAAAGTTCAGGTGTGGATTTTTTGTTTGCTCATCGGTTGGATCGATAAGATCCGATCATAATCAATCTTATAACTTGGGGAAATAAAAAACTCCTACGTAGAAACCACATAATTGGACATTTAATTGACTAAAGGCATTTTTCATGTGTAGATGTTTAAAAGAAGATAACTCTGCTTGTATATAGAAATGTTCCTTTATAATGTATTTTTTTTAGAATACAATTCACTAGTCTATCAATTTTCGGCATTGAAGTACTATTTTCATAAACTTCATAAGAATATTGACATTATGATATCTGGTAAGTTAGATGACTTTTCCAATTTAATTTCATCATGATATTATCTTATAGATCAGGTTACTTTTAATGGTTAAGCATTAAATACAACTCTAACCACCCCAACGCTGACCTCCAAGCACAAACGGGTGAACAAGTTCTTTACCAGTGGATGACTTGCATTAAAATTGTAATGTCCATGCAAGAATGAGACATCTTCATTCTGGGGGTCCACCATGAAAAATATTTAGTTTCTCTGAAGATTTTTGGTTTCACTCCCTGATGATGGACTTGTCAATTACATTTCTGTTACTGTTGTTGGTATTATTGTCCGCGAGTATCAGTTTATCAAAACCAGAGAAAGGCTTTCTTGTTGGACAAGGAAGTTGAAGACAGACCTGATTAGGGAATTTATGCATTTCAGGCTCTGTAAGCCCTCTAAGCAAAGCAAACTTAGTGAGTCTAGAAATTGGTAGGCTTAATATATATACGAGCCAAACTAAAAGGCCTGTTCACAACTCTAACCTATTCTCAAATCATTTGGGTATATAAAAGGCCTTGTTAAAACACCCTTACTTTAGACTTGGTCATTAGGTATATGAGTAGATAGAGTTTAGCTGCGTTATAGAAGTTTTCGTTTGATCAACAACATACAATCATATTGCACTGTCAAATCACTGTAAAGGGTGATGATGGTGATGGATATACACAATGACTGTCACAAACTCATAATAGAATCCAAAAGATATAAAACTGTAAGATGGAAAAGAGAGTGAGAAAGAATCAATCCTTCAGTTCTTTGGGAGGACCTTTGAGCAGGTGGTTCTGACTTGACCTAGAGGACCAGTCAAGACATGATAATTCGATAGTTTCATCATGGACGTGGCAAAGTCACGTCGGAACAACTGTGTATCAGAAGCGTATGCTCTCACCCACATCTCAGTCTCTTCTCTTCCGGTTAGTTGCTGATCAGCATACATCAACCCTTTCTTCTGCATCAGTCTCCTGTAGTAGCGTGTTCCGAAATTCTCCTCACCTCCTTCGTTGTTGTAGCTCATGTCTATCACTCCATCGTTCCCTCCTGCTGAGCTCACAGTACCGTAATCTGATGCAGGCATGGACGGTCCTACACCAGTGCCAGGGGATGGCGCCGAGGCAGAGAAGGGGCACTTGGTTTTGAGCTCTTGTTGCAACCCTGTATCGAGTTCAGGGTCAGGCTTCCCGGTTCCTGAGAAGTTGTATAGTCTGTCCTCAAAGAATGTGCAATGCGTAGTGCCTATGCTGTGTGCTCCTGCATTACAAACGATCACAAGAAATGAATCATATCACAAAGAGTTAACCAATACACGATCATGTATATAGCAAAAGCAGGGAGAGAGATGTTGATAGCAAGGAAGTGAGGACTACCAAATAAACTGACGGTTTCTCTCTCGTTGAATCCTCTAGTACCAAACCTTGCAAGAATCACCGAGATAGTAGCTTGAGGTGAAGGAAGCTCCCGTTCTGCCATTTCTTTGAAGGCAACTACACTGTCCTTCCTTCCAGTCTCCAGCGGATAAAACGGACCACCAGCCTTAAGAGTTCCAAAAACACTGATTCAAGATTACAAAAGATATGAACAAGTATCAAACCAGAAGAAGAGAGTTACCATAAGAACGGCTTCTCTAGCAGCCAAAACAAGAACGTCTGCACAGGAAACAACACCAGGACATACACTCTCAAGCTCAGACTTGATTGATTCAATCACATCAAAACCTTTCAAAGACTGATTCGGCGGCGCTTCTTTCTCAGAAGCAAAAGATTCATCTGCGTCTAGTAACACCGATGCATCACATCCCTATAATAGGAATACAAACTCCTTAGTTCCAACTTCAAGAAACGCCAAAGTAAAACGCGATCGATAACACAACACATCGATTCTTCACATCACATTCTTCAAAGCACACAATCATCCATAGATCTCTCGTAATTAGTCAATCTAAGAGCAAAAACGACGAAGCAAACGTAAGGTTCAGTGAACGATATAAAATCAGAGATCAAACTCATCGATTCTTCGCAATCTTTGTTCAACGTTTCACTAACTCATCGATAACAAACACACATCACAGTCTTCAAAGCAAGCAAACGTCCACAGATCTCTAGTAATTAGTCAATCTAAGAGCAATAAACGACGAAGCAAACGTAAGGTTCAGTGATTCACAATCTATGCGAACGATTTCAAATCAGAGATCAAACACATCGATTCTTCACATTCGTTATTCACCGCTTTACTAACAATCAATAACGGCTAGAGACATCAGAGATTTATAATCAATCGATCTCACCTCGATGAAGCAATCGTGAAAGAGGAGGCGGATTAGCGACGGAGCTACGCTAGGTTTAGCGGCGTAGAACTCTCTGATGCGTTTGGTGATGATTCGCTCGGCGGTAGGGCAAGAGTCTTGGTAGAAATCGTAGTGGAGAGAGTAAGATTGATCGGAATCTTCCATGTACAAGGACATGAGATCGTCTTCGTCGTCGTCGAAGGGAGATTTCTCGGGAACCTTGACGCCGGTGAGATTTTTCGGAGATCGTTGCGCGAAACGGAGGAAGCCGTGGTCGTATTCGAGGCCGTAATACGCGATGAGGACGCTGAGAGCTATGACGAAGCAAGTGACGATGAACCTCATCTTCTCACTCTCTCTCTGTGTATCTTCGTCTCAGGGGAAGTGAGTGTGGAGATGGTGACGAAGAAGAAGAAGAAGAGGGAAAGAAGCGGGAAGTTTATGTGATATGACGGATATGCCCTTGCTCGTAAAGTAGGCGGTTTCGCGATTTGTTACTGTTCAAGTGTTCAGTTAAGCCTCCGTGTGCTGGCTTCGTTCGCGAGGCAGTTGGGATCCGCTGTTTTCAGGTGTACGGTACACCGTAGGTTAATGACAAGTTGAAACCCGAAAAGTAATATTTGAGCCCAAGAGTGAAATATGGGCTTTTGTAACACGGAAAGGTCCAGTAAGAGTTTAGGATGCATGCACTCATGAGTCCAAGTGGACTATTTATATTTGATCGAATGAAATTTAATTTTTCAAAACTGGCCCTATACATATATTTAGTAATTTAGCGGTTATGTTTGGCATCCTACATGCATTAGCCATGCAACACATCATTTTAACGACCATTATATATTTGTTAGTCGACAAATCTTTAGACTTTCCTGAAACAATTAACTGAGAGTGTAAAAAGAGTAATGGACACAGAGCTCACAATTGACGGAGTGTATAAGAGTGAGAACAAAACTCTAGAATTAGAATTAAAGGTTCGAGCATTATAGTCATCATTTTTTTCAAAAAAAAAAAAAACATTATAGCTACTCATCAAGGTGACACGCTCACATTTTTTGTAACTTATTGATGATGTTGATTTTCGGTGTACTTGTCTCCCACATCACGATTGACATATCGAACATTCGAACTAGTATGTTCAGTAAAAGTTTGTAAAACATAATTTTGAAAATTAAGTATACTAAGAAGAAAGTAAGAACGTAATGATCAAATAAATGAGTTTATAATCTATCAGATCGTGTTCAAAATAAATAAATAAAATCTATCAGATCATTTTTAAATCTGCAGGAAGGGTGTTTTAACAGCTGACATTTCAGTAAACTATTATATTGAGTCGTGTAACTACTAACTATTATAGTTACTCCGGAATTTTGAAATTATAAAAATATGTAGGATTTGAAAGGGAAAAACTAGGGAGAGAGTACCGAAGGAGAAACAGTCGTTGTTTGTAGCTTTGGTGTACAATTATGAAATAATAGCAAATAATATAATTAATATAGAACTTACAGGAATATATGATATGATCAACCGATTTTATATAATTATAATCACTATTTGCATTCTTAATTAATCAAACTGTAGGACATAAGAAAATAACTATGACTTGTAGTTCTTACTATATATATGTAATAATATATGTAAATTGTTAAATAAGCTTTTTGTCAACTGTTAAATAAAGATTTTAAAATAACATTTGGACTCAAAAGAGAATAACATTTTATGTAACTGTAACATAAAAAAAACTGTAACATCAAAAGAAAATTTTCAACAACAAATATCATATACTATGAACCTGTTGACAAACTTTATAAAAGTATGGCACGAGCCTAAGTCAACTGAGATAGATAGTTTATGATTTAAGAAGTGACTAATATCCAAAGTCAAACCATACTTTAATAGCTAGAAATGTCAATTTTACAACTTTTTATGATAAAGACAATTGTACAAGTTATACATAACTTGGGATATATGTGTTCTGAGAGTAGACAGCCTATTATAATACAGTTGACCTCTCCTTTTAAATAGTTCAATCGATTTGTAACGTTTTCTTTCCAAACATAAACTTCGAGTTGTTTTGTTTGAGAACTTAATTTTTATGAACTTATCTTTTTAGGGTTAATTTGATGAATGACTGTATTGAAAAAAAAAAATAGATTTGTAGTGAGAAAGTAGAGAGAAATAGGAACACAAATGAGAAAAGAGAGGGTGATATGGTTAGTTGGTGAGATATTGTTTTTTGTTGTTGTAGTTTTCTCTATTTTTAAACAAATCTAAATCTACCAATATATATATGTATATATATATATATATATATATATATATATATATGTCTGTGAATAAGTTACAAAATATATACAACTGATAAAAAGACTGACAGAAGTTTGATGATCTAAATTAATGAAAAATTCGTAATTACTTTTCCAAACTGTAAAAATAGTTCTATAGTCGACATATATAGAAAAAGTTGTAATCTTTCTTAAGACTATGAATTAAGTATAGTTCAAAATCAAGTATCAGATATTAATTGGCTGAATAAGATTGATTGCTGATAATATTATAGAATGGAAAAGGTATATGCTGTTCTAGTTTTTTAAATGTTTGGGGTTATGGGATATTAAATCTGAAAACCTTATTCATCCAGTTAGGGAATATTTGGTTGTTAAAAAATTGTTTAATGAATAGTTGTTATTTTGTGTTCAAAAATTTTATTCTTTATATATGAGGGTCAAAACACAGCTATTGCATGCGAGAAATGATATTTAATAAAAAAAAATCAGATGTAGAATCAAATGCGTAGAAAGTATTGAAATATTCCAATTGTAAGAACTATTAAACTATATATGAACTCGGAATTGGTCTTCTTCATGAATACGTGTGAGAATGAAACATGTTTTTTTTGATAAAAAGAATGAAACATGTTGCGGCCGAAATTCTTCATGGATATGCTACATAACACCGTACCATAAATTTGGATGTAAATATATTCGATTCGACTGCTTAGTCATGTCCATAGCTTTTCCATAGCGGCTAACTGGTCATGTTCATGTTCTTGAAACTTTGGAAAATATTGGCGATTTACTAAATATTTCAATAAAGATCTTTTTTTACAAATTTAAGGGCATAGGTCTACATAATCTTCGTCAAAACACAACTACCTTTTTTTACAACACAACTAATTTTGTCAAGTTGGTTTTATTATTTTTTATGATAAGTACATGAACTTCATTACTACATCCAATACAAATATTTGCATCTCAATCTGCTGGGAACTAACAAGTTGGTACCAAACGATACCAAAATTTCTTTTTAAAAAATAATCAAATGATAGGTTTTTCTGTTCATGGCGTAAGCATCTTTCCTTGTATTTTTCTTCGGGTGAATTTAACGTTAGCTAAATAAAAATAGATAAAAATAAAACTGCATGAACACTAAATATCAAACCTTACATATTTCAAGCATGAAGTATGAGACATGCCTATTTCTAATTGCACATTGTGTTCAAGTATAAAAAATGTTTAGTTACACAACAAGAAAGAGTAAGTTTGTAGAGCTATGAGCACATATTCAAATATTACAGGTTGCCAAAAAAGTCTGATACATAACTTCGTCTTCCTTCTATTTATCACCCCGATTGTTTTTTTCTTCTTTTTTGCTAAAACAAAAAAAATAGTTTATCGTTCTATTTGTTAGTATTTTTTTTTATTGTACAGTTATTAATATCTATGAGACAACACCGTTGAATAAATGGTGGTCGTACATTGAATCATATGCTTAAATTATAGGGTAAAAATATAATGACAACAACCAGAATGAAATGATTATGATATAGAGTCCGCTACCAAGAAACATCAATATCAAAAAATAAAAAGAATGGCTCAAATGTTTATTGAAAAATGGAATATAAAATTAGAATGTAATATACAAACATCGAATGTAACTCTGCATTTCTCTCACATTGAACATCGTACGAGAAATATAATCGCACTCGTTCAAAGGTGGGAGAATATTAAAAATGAGTAAAATATTACATTTTGCTTGTATATTAAAAAAACTCCGACTAAAATCAAAAGAGCCGTGTATCATCTCGGTAAGTTAAGGCCAATGTCCATTCCGTTGAAAGCAATCGGCGCATACATCCATTGATCATCAGAGCTTAATAACTGCGTAATGATAAAAAAAAAAAAAAAAAAAAGTTATACATCCATTTCATACATGTAACCATGAATGTACACGTAAACGGTAAAATCAAAATCTTCCGTACCTTAATTTGAAGCTGTAAAAATTTGACGTAATGAACGGCTTCCTCTAGCATTGTACTTATATCTACCTGTTACATATTTAAGAATTATAGCATGTGTTAGAGTTTTAGTAACGTTTATCATCTGCATGTGTTAATCGTTTGCATGATTTGTTTACCTTTGTTCCATTAGGGACTAGGCTTTGCAAGATCCTCAGTCTCTCGTTAATCCTTTCTCTTCTTTTCTGCACGACCAAAGAAAGATAAGCGTTTAGTCACGAATTGTATTCCACCAAACCAAAAAAAAAAAAAATTAAAAAACCTAAAACTTTGACTTCTATCAAAGAATAAAAATATTTACCCTTGCGTAGAGGCTTTGAGGGTCGGTGGCAGCACCACGACTGGCCCTTGTCTTGCCGTTGAGGTTGAGGGCCTTGGAGGCATCTTCTTCGTCTTCTCCTCCAACGTCTTGAGAAGGGCACAGTGAGTCTTCCTCGGAACAGAAAGTGGTGCTTGAGTTCTGTCTACTCATCATAGCCCCACTCTTTCTTCTCTTCACCTTCTCACATTCTTCCTCTTCTCCTGACCCATTGTTGTTATCACAACTCATCTCTGTGCTTTTTTGTCCCCTCTTACCCACTTTTGCTCTCTTGTTTTTCTGATACCATCACAAATCCGTGTATATAATATTAGTCGATAGACCATGCCACTATCATATATCTAATTTTGTGGAAAAATTATAGATAAATTCCATTAACTTTTAACCCTCTAGATAAATTCCATTAACTTTAACCCTCTAGACTTGCAACTAGTTAGGAGCCTTAAACCAGTAAAACTTACATCAGTGGATGTAGTACGTGATCTCTTCTTAGAACCGGTGAGAGATCTATGATGGTCAGTAGTAGTTCCGGATTGCAACATACTCTCCTCGTCATCATGGTTCTCCACGACAGTTTCCAAGGGAAAAAGATTTTTTCCAGATGAGTATTTCTCAACGTTACATTCACTTGTCTCCTCACCAACTAGATATGAGTTGGTGTTGATGGTCACATCTTCCATCCCAAAGCCCGTTGACCCATTGTTAGTCTCTTCAACCGTGGGTGGTACCACCGTGTAGTACCTGCTGTTCTCAACGCTGTAGCTGCTGCTCTCTCCAGAGAAACCGAAGCTACTGGCTTCAGGCATGAGGGTAAGATGATGGTTGTGATTAGAACCAAGGCTCCAGTACAAGCCATGGTGGTCTCCACTGGCTGTGCCAGAGGACGAGCCGGTGCCAGGATGATCGTAGGAAGCAAGGAGCTGGTTCATGAAATCGGTTTCTTCGGTTGCATAGGTGTACATTCCTCCGAGGTTGTTGCTCCATTCTCCCATAGCTTCCATTTTGTTACGAGCTTAAGTGTCTTAATTGAGATTAATCTTAATCAAAAAGATTAGTTAGTTTTATTTATTGGAAGTCTTGTGAGAAGTGAGGGAATGAAGGAGATGAGTTTGGGATGGTTTATATAGAACATGAGAGAAAGTGGATAATGTCAACACTTATGTCACAAATTACAACAGTTTCTCTAAACTAGTTGAAAAATTACCAAGTCCGGGATATCCTTAGATATGGACAGCTAAATGGTGGGCTCTATGCTACTTGGTCTTCAAAACATTTTTTTGTCGTTTCTCGTTTATGACTTAAATGTATATCCGATTATCTTATTGCTTAACTTAATACATTATTACATATTTGTTAATTAAACACAAAATTTTTATGTAAACAAAAAGAATGTTGTCGGATAATATACCTGAATTATGAATTATGACCAATGTGATTAATAATGCAGAAAGCATGATTTTGGCGGTATTCACAGTATATGTGGTGTTTTTAATAAAATTTTGGAATAACAACTGGGGAAGCTCACTAGATTCTTCGACTTCATTGTTGGTATATCTTACTTAGGATTAAGTTTACGTTTTACAAAAGCTTTCAAATACTCCATTGAGTTCCATCTTTATAAGATACGTATGATCCCTTCAAATATTTTCCTTTAATAGACAGTTTAATCTGCCGTGATATGGGCAAAGACTTGTTTTATTTTAGTAGGAAAAACATATTTTTTTATATTTTTTTCTACATATCTTCAGAATATTCCTATCAGTTGATAAAATATGTGTATTGTATCTTAAAGTCTGAATAACATATAACGTATTGATCAGTTTCATACTTGACAAAACTAACAAATAATCTAAAAGTAAATTGGGTCTCAGGGAGGATAATTATATGTGATTTCTGTTCATCTGTAGAAAAATACTAAAATAGACAAGACCCACCAAATTTTTCTTTTTGAAACTAGCACCTAATTTTTCTTTCTTTTTCTTTTTGCTTAGATGCATCTAGTTGCTTATAAGTCATGCAATTTATAGAGTTGTATTATCATATATTTGTTGCATATTAAATGGTATATAATGAGAATTAGGAAATGCAACCCCAAAAAGGGATATTAGTAGAAAGAAACTACCAGTTTCACTAATGATTAATACACGTTAACCCTGTGCCCAATATAATTCAATACACAGTATTACTTATCTAATTTATTCTGGATATCAGTAGAATAAAATCTGTGAACAGCTTGAAAAAAACAGTTTTGTAATATGATCTGATTAAATTAATTGGGAATTATACTGCTTGAGTTTTTCTCAAAAAAAAAGAGAATATATATATATATGTATATATACGTATATTACCCAGTTTATTTTGGACGATATTAAAATAGCAATGCTTGCACGCACGACCAAAAAGTATCACAAATCAGACGAGTATTATTTATGATCTATAAATTAACTATATATATTCTTTGTTGGGTAGATAGCTGGCAATTTGATGCCTCTTAAAGATTTTTTTATAAAAAAACAAACGAACACTTTTTATTATTCATAAAATTGTCGTTTCAGTTAGCATGGACGATATTTCGTAATTATACCTAGTTTTTTTTTTGTATTTAGTACTATTGTTTTGTAGATAATTATACTAGGAAACGATACAGATCAAAATCCGATCTCAGAGTTTTGTCTTTTCCAATACTCAAGAAGTTTTTGTGTTTATTCGACAGAGTTAATTATAAGATTGAATTAAGCCTTTATCTCTTAAATAAATTGAAGTACATATTCTCATGAGAGAGATTCAAACCTGAACCAACTCGTGTGGTCTAGTATTAAAACAAAAGTTACAAAGTGAAATGAGGAATCAAGTTTCCACTATGAATCCCTTAAATTCCACAACGTTCATGCTTAAATTCAAGCCTTAGCTAGACCCAAACTCGTCCGGGAGACTTGAAACTTTTTGCAATTCGTCCATTTTCTGAGTCTTTACACTCGCATTATGTGACATCCTTTGGTTCGGATTAACATTATTTTGCTGAAGATGGTGTCATGTCGCCGATGGATACTTTTATTTTTAGAAGATAAATTTTATAGTTTGAGACGATGAGGTAAATGTAAGGAATCCTACCAAACAGAATTAGGGATCAAGCTGCAACGTGTGTCGGATATTCCTCAGCATCATTGTTCATATTATATTATATGTGTTTATACACTTAAAATATAGACGTAGACGTAAGCCACACGGATATTTATATACTAGGAAAATTATAAACTCAACCTAATAATAAAATATCAGAAATCACATATATTAACTGGAAATGGGAAAAGGACACAGCTACGAATAGTTCGCAACTGTGTGTTTTCGATTTGACATTTGGCTCAAAACATACTATTTATATATTTTTCTGACAAATAGTATTTATTGAAATAATATATAGTAATAGTTCAAACATAATACTTATATTTATGAAGTTATGATCTTGGACCGTTGAAAACTAATCGAAAATTTACGATTTCAAACAAAAATAAAAGGCAAAACAAATTAAATAAATATAATTTTCTCTACTGAATCAGAAGAATTTATATTATTGTGTGAAAAAGTTAACCAGGTAAATGCATGAGGTCCATTAACAAAAAAAATGTGACTTTTCCCGCTGATTTTACCGTTGTAAAAAGTGACGTCTAACTTGTAAATAGTGACGTACGTCCAAATGTCATTTAAATAGGAAAATAGTATATGTAAAACGTATATCTCTTTTTAAGTGTCTAGCATATTATAAAGGGAAATGATTTGATGTACCTTTTAAATTTTGATTTGGCTGACGATTGGTTGGTGAAGAGAATGTTTTTATTTGCTTATCTATATAATTATTGGCATTATAAGACCACCAAATAAATAAAGTTTTGCTCCTCTTCTTCTTTTTTCTATGGATTCCTGATTTGTTTATACTTGAGTATACGATTATTATCAGAATCTTTAATATCATATTTAACGTTTGTTGCGGTTTGCGTCCCGCCTCGTGCATTCGTCATTTTTTTAATTATACTTCGACGTTTGGTGCATTGATTGATGTAGGCCAAAAAAAAGAATGACAACCATAGTCAATAGGCAATCATTCAGCGGATATAAGAAATGAAATGTACATTATAATAAATTTTGATCAAATCAAAGAGCAGAAGAATGTGAGCTATACATGATTTTATGTAGTGATATAATTGCAGTTTGTATATATTTAAGTAGTTTTTGTTCATTTTCTTGTTGGCCCGAACTGGGATCCAATCGTCGATGTCTAGTCCCGTCTTCGAAAGCTGATCATAACCTTTCTTCAAAGTTTTATGCCAATCCTATAAAATAGTGTCTGTAAGATAATGCATTTTCTTAGATAACGATCTCTCAAAAAAAATATTTTGCTTACAACGACATGGTTCATATTAACTTTAGAAAACAAATTAAACAGCATCGTAAAACTATATGGTTTTGCAGTGGATATTCATCATCAACTTATTATATGACATGGTGTCTTGTGTAACTTGGTAAATTGTAATTGACTTTGGATTTCATCTCCTATATATTAGATTATAATTGACTTTGGTTTAATGTATATATTTATATATATGATTTTTATGCTAACAGCTAAGGCGGAAATTAGGTGCATTATAATCGAATGATATATTCAACAAAAACAAAATCGAATTACAAAATGTTGAGTGTCACTGTTCCCTGGTTATTAATCCTTATATATTTCAGTTTCTATCTCCTGGTTGTTGGAGACTTGAACAAAACTATTAACAGGCTATAAAAATCATTTGTCTAAACTCTAAAAGTAACAGTTATACACTACTCATATTGTTTAATTTTATCATTTGACAACAAAGCTGATATATGTCACTGTTCCTTGGTTATTAATCATTATATATTTTCTGTCGTTTTCTTAGCTTCTTCTAATACTTTTGACAGTTTTTTACAAGTTTAAATATTAGTAACCGCAGAGTATATTTGTTCCCCACATAGTATGTTTTTTTTTTTAAATATTAGCAAATAACAGTTTTTGTGTTACAAAAAAAAAAGAAAAGCAAATAACAGTTTTTAGGAAGTGGTACTGAATTTAGACATTTTGTATTGTTCTAGATACATTTTAAAATTGAGTAAAATGTATATTTATGTTATTACAATACATAATGAAACATTACATAAGAAATTGCATAAGTTTATGGAAAAATCATCATTTAAAAAAAAAGACATTCATAGATGAAGATGATACTATATTTCAGGTTTCATTAGAAAAGCTCAATCACTAAACTAGTCGTTACTATCTATCTATCTATATATATAAAGTAGAATTATCTTTTTCTAGAAAATGCCACATCATCAAATACTGCAAAAAAAACATGACACGTGACACTTCTATAATTAAGTTTTGTTCACCACTTGATCTAGTTTAGATAGGTCCAAAATTATAGGCTCTAAGAGCATGTACATCAATGAATCCCTCTTGGAGTTCATCTTTATAATATTTTATTATTATTTTTCTTTTTGTCAGATTTTTATAAAAAAAAAATTTAATTGAACCAATCTGCTTCCGACACGTGGTGAACTCCACTCTCTTGGGGTTCACCGGGATGAACTTTTGGAAAGAGAAATTCATCACTGTTCATCTAGAAAACTGTGTGAACCCCCTTATAAAACCCTTATGAACCTTCATTGTACATGCTCTAACAATTTTAAAAACAAATCGTTTCCTTTTCTCTCAATACTTACAAGTGACGGTAGAATTAGTCATATATTGATAATTTGTTTGTTAAGAATCTCATAAAACTTTCCCCTCCACAACTCTGTTTGAAAAGGCTTTATGTTGATAATTTCTGTTTAAATGATCTACAAAATGTATTGTTTATGTATTTAGATTATGTACGAGTAAATAACAAGAATAATAAATAAATAGTAAATATTGTAAAAAAGATTGAGTGAAAGTTAATATATTTTCAGTTAAGAGCAAATTAAATATTTTTATTATAATTTCACTCAAATATAATATATATTCATATTATTTTGTTTATTTGCGTACCCGCAGCGGGTTTACACTAGTAGTCTTATAAAGGTCTAAAGAGTTGGTTCAATTGTTTTTTTCATTTTAAGCTATAAGTAGGACACTTGGTCCTAGACAAAGATCGAATTAGATTTCTTGAGCTGTTTAAATAGAAAACGGTTTTTACGAAAAACAAAGAAACTATTGGACAATTTGTACTTATAACCTTCTTAAGATGTTTAACTGGGCCTACGTAAGAAGGCCCATCCTTTAACCTAAATGGGGTGTGAGGTCCATGCGCGCTTATATAAATCGATTATATGTGTTGTCGCCTACGAAGTCTAGGGTTTTCGAGTGTTTTCACGCCGTTCATCTTCGTCTCCTAGCTTTTAACACTCGAGAAATCATGGGTTTCGCTGCGATCTGGAACTCTCATCCCAAGAAGTATGGGCCTGGTTCCCGCACCTGGTAATAATACTCTGTTCTAATACTGGTAGTTATGGATTAATTAGATATAGGTGACTCAAACTTATGTTAATTAAACATTTTAGAGTTTTCGTTACATGATTAGTTACTGTTTAGGTTGTGTAAAGTATGAGCCTTGTTCTTGTTGGAACCAAATCCACTTTGATTGAGTTATATTTCTCTTTATACAAAGATCTAAACGTTGGATGAAAGTTGCAAACTTAGTTTTGTAGTCATAGTATGTGTTAGATCATTTTGGGAAATCTAATTATATAAGCTTGGATTTGTTGTGTAGCCGTGTGTGCGGAAACTCGCACGGGCTAATCAGGAAGTATGGACTTAACTGCTGCAGACAGTGCTTCCGCAGCAACGCCAAGGAGATTGGATTCATCAAGGTAATGATGTTCATGCCATTAACAGATACTCTTGTGGTTTATCTCACTCCCTTTGGAAAATAATTACTAATATTCATCTGGTCTTGTGTTGTTTTTTTTTGCAGTACCGTTAAAGATTCGGAGTTGCTTATGCAGTTGAAGTCGTTTGTTTTTTCCTAAAAGATTTTGAGATTTTATGTTGTCAATGGATCATATGAATGTTTTATGATTTTATCGTTTAACATCTGAACGTCCTTGTTTATCAAACATATCGGTTCTACTACAATTTGGTTATGATTTAAATTTGCAGTTTAATCTTTACGTGTCTCAATATTGGTTGATTATTAGATGACAGACAGTAGCAGCAACAAGAAATAGTGATATTCAAGAAGCAAATTTATACGCCATAGTCAACAACTAATCAAGCTATTATTTAAGGCAGACTAGGGGTGGGCGTTCGGGTACCCGTTCGGGTTCGGGTCGGGTATCTCGGGTTTTCGTGTATTTCAGTATTGGGGTTTAGAACCCGTTCGGGTATTTTTACATATCGGGTCGGGTTCGGATATTTTTAGTTCGGGTTCGGTTATTTCGGGTCGGGTTCGGATATTTAAATTTTGAAAGAAAAATTTTAAATTCTTAATTACTTAAGTTTCATGTATTTAAAATTTAACTATTAACTTAACTGTTTTTAAATGTTTAATAAGTTAGACAATTAATAAGTTTGAAAATAAATTATTGAGAATAAAAATCATTATTTTGGTTATTATTTTCGAATTTTAGATGCAAATTTTGTTTAAAATATGAAATAAGAAGCTTAACATGCATTTTAAATGAGTAACAAATCAATTTTTTTACAATTATATGTATATTATCTGATATGAAACTATATATAACATTAATATAAATAGTTTTAATAAAATGAGACAAAATAAACTATGAATAATAGGTCTATATACATATGTTCGGTTATCTTCGGATACCCGTTCGGGTTCGGGTATTACCCGTTCGGGTTCGGATATCCAAACTCTCCTAACTCAATACCCGTTCGGATATTTTGCTACTTCGGTTCGGATTTCGGTTCGGATTTCGGTTCGGATATTTCGGGTCGGGTTCGGGTACGAGTTCGGGTATCGGATAAAGTGCCCACCCCTAAGGCAGACTCGTAATTCAGCATATTTATCGAACCAAGCTTGTAATCACACCGATCTATCTTTTACTTGGTTCATTTTGTAAACCGAACAAAACCGAAAGCTTAAATTTCCGACCCTAATAATTGAACAATCAACACTTCAACCAAAAAAAGGGAACCAAACCAAAAACACCAAACGATGCCAATGGAAACGGGTTGAGTAAGAATTGAGCAGCTGTCAGAAAGACGCTTCAACAATCTTCAGTCGTCATCGTCACTCTCCCGAGGAAAGATGAGCGTCACTCTTATGGTTGCAGACACCGTCTGGTCGAACATCGAATCTACTGGCTCAGGTACTGAGCCGCCACTTTTACTTCTTCTCTCTTTGCTTTCCTTGTTTACGAGATCTTTTTCCTTGAATTTTGGCAGTAACTGAAGAACAGCTCTCAATGTCAGTTCTCCTGTCTCTATTCCTCTCTTATTCGTAATAGATTGCAGATATTGAATTATTGTGCAATCTTCTATTGCTTTTGCTCAGTCGTTTAGATATAAAAAACATACAATGGCGATTTTGAGATGACATTACTGAAGTGTATTTGTTTGCAAACATCAGCTTGCATATGTTGTTTGGTAAGAATCTTGAGAAAGCAACCAGAATAGTCGACAAGAGAGGCGTCAAGAAAATCTCTGGCTTACCAAGTGGAAGATCCATCTTTCAGGTCTTCTCACAATCAAAATAGCCCTTGTACAAGCTGTTCACTCAGATGTCTAAGAACATTGGTTTTTGTACTGTTTAACAGGTTGTTGGAGAATCTCAAAAGAGGGAAGAGTATCTGTGCTTCCCAGGAGATTACTGTGGATGTTATTCTTTCTTCTATGATGTTGTTAGCAGAGGAGAGCAACAATGTGTAAGTTTCTTCTCCAATCATGTTTAGAGTTTAGTAATATACTGCTACTGACTTTCTCTACTTATTTGTTTTGGCAAAGTGTAAGCATCAATTGGCTGCGAGGCTGGCTTCTTCATTGGGTACATACAGCGAAATTGAGGTCTCAGATGAGCATCTTGCCATGATTCTTTCAAAGATCTGATTCTTTCATTTCAATGTACTTGTGCAATTGTGCTGCAAAGTTATGTTGTCTGAAAGAAGAAATAAGTATTTTCCTGCTAGCAACAGTCCCCTGTGAGAAAAAAAAAATCAATATCACAATAAAATTAAGAGCTTAATCCTATTGATAACCAAATTACTTAGGATAGGATTATTTTTTTATTCATTGTTAATTTGGTATCTTCTTTAATTTGACTCTGATCTAGTTAGGTTGATTTACCTAAATTAAACACTTGTAATTAAGATCATATACTTCGATGAATCTGACATCTCTTATTTTTTACCCAGCTACCGCACTGAAATGACTCATCTGTCTAGACAAATCCCTTACCTTAGCGAGCAAACCGAGGGTAAATCCGTCTTTCCCTCTGAACACGCTTTGAATTTCTCATCTTTAATAATCTATTGAAAATTCAATCTAATTTTACTCAGTTTGTAAACACAAGAATCTTCCAAGAAAGTGACGAAACAGGCAATGGAGGTAACAACCGACGAGGTATTGCAGGAGGTAAACGCCACGGCGACGGAAAATCTCGGCCGAAACGAGCCGGTGGAGGAGAGGAAGATTGAAAGGGAAAATGGCGGAGAGAGGAAGAGAGAGAGCGAGACGCCTCCAGAGGATGATTGTTGCCCGATCTGTTTCGGCTCCTTTACGGTTCCGTGTCGTGGCAACTGTGGCCATTGGTATTGCGGTAAAAAAAAGTCTTTTGATCTTTTAACTTTCTTTCTCATTAGAATTTTTCTGAGCCATTTCGCTTTGTGTGGGGGTAGATTGGTAATTAATGCTGTGGTTGTTAACGTAACAGGAAGTTGCATCTTGCAGTACTGGAACTATGCTGCGGTATCAAGGCCTTGCAAGTGTCCTATGTGTGTTCGTCACATCACTAAGCTGTCACCGGAAGCGTCCTTGCAACAGCGAGAAGAGCCAGAGGTGAAGGAGGTTCTTGCTAAGATCCGTAGGTATAACCGTCTCTTTGTTGGTGGGTTAACTGGCTTTGTTCAGGTAATAAATGGCTTTTGATTCATGTTATTATTCTCTTGAGTGTTTGGCTTGATAAAAATTACCATTGTTCAAAATGTTTCAGAGGGTGCAGGAGATGCCTTTGCTAATGAAGAGAATGGTGTGGTACCTTATGGATCCAGATAACAACCTGTGTTTTAACCAAATTCGCCTCTTTGCAGTTAAGAACATTTTTTACCTTTGGTTTCCATCTTGTTACTTGTTTGCAGTGCTATCTATATCTGATGTTTACTTTTCATAGTTTAGTGTTTAGTTATATACGTCTTGTTGTCACAGCTCAATCGACCTTGCATTTATTCATCCTTTTAACGGCTATATTCCTACTTTCCACCATTGAAAGGATGAGAAATTAAGTTTCTTTCTGGTATTGCAGATGTTTATGAGTAGCCTCTACACTGCCTCCGAGTTTGATTTCATCCCAACGGGTAAGTTGTTGCCTCAAGAATACTTGAAGTTCATGTGACTCCAAAACCATGTTTTTCTAAGAGTGATGTATGTTCCCCGTTGTGTACAGGAGGGTTCAGAATAGTGACGGTGTTCGAATACGGTGCGATAGTAATGATCCTGATTCTGCGCTTGGTGGGGATATATAGGAGGAGACGGCTTGCTCAGCGTGTTAGGCATGTTGCAGCTGCAGAAGTTGAACCAGAATAGAGAGAACAAACTATTAACATGTGAAGAAAAAGAATCAAAACGTTTGTTCATCGTGTATAGGTTTGGTTAGATGTTCATAGAAAAACCATTAGTCTTGTGCAGTTTTACTGTCCATAACCAATCATACTACTATCGAACAATTCAGAAAATAATAACAGTAGCAGTTTCGCTTAAAAAACGTCGTCGTTGCAAGAAATGAAAACAGTAACAGTATCGCTTAAGGCGTCGTCGTTTGAAATTCTCGAGACGATGCTAAACGGCGTCGTTTTGCCACAACACTCTCCCAGACACAATTTTGAATCAAATCCGTTTCCCCGATCCATCTAAACGGCGATTTCTACATCATCCGACGAAATCGAAGCGGCGGAGGAAGTGGAGAGAATGGCTACCCGTGCGATATCTCAGGAAGCATTCGACGATCTCGTAAGGGAAAACGTGGAAGATCTAGGAATGGAACCTTCCGAAGCTCTCGAAGACGCTCTCTACACACTCAAACTCCAAGGCGTCGATCTCTCCGGTCAGTAAACCTCTTTTCCTTTCCCAATTGAATGATCTATTTTCTCTCCCAAACTCGATTTAAACTAGTGTGTATATGCTACAGGGATCATCACTTGTGTACCAGGAGAAAGTAGCGTCAAGGACAATCCGGTGATTGCGTGTTTAGAGAGACTCAAAGAGCTCGACACTGGTTTACTTCGAGATGAGGATTTGGATGAGATTTCGAGTTTGTTAGTTAAGCTCAGTGAGCTTTGTAGCAGTCTAGAGTCAGGGAACGTGGCGATTGCTACTAAACATGGTGCTGTGGAGCTAACATGCTCGATTTGTTCCAAAATTAAGATAGACGCTAGGAGTTACGTCATTGTTGTTCCGTGTTTGAGAGCTTTGGCTGTTTTGATCCATGGTATGACTTTACGTTCTTGAATTAGTCTTGTTGGTGTTTATTCGTTTTGTTTTGGTTGATCATGTGTTGTTTAATATGCAGATATTCAGAGTACAGAGGTGTTTAGGCATGCTTCTGGACCGAGGATTGTGGTTGATCTCTTGAGAGACTCTAGCTTTGATTCTGATTTATTAGATGCTGGTTTTGCTGTTGTTGCTGCTGCGGCGACTGGTAATGAAGTTGTGAAGGAGATATTCATGGAGCTGAAAGTCGATGAATTTATACTGAAAGTGCTGAATCGGGAGAGTAAAGTCACCATTAGAGCTTTGTATGATGCCATTCGTGTTCTTTTGACCCCAGATGACAACCGTGTTGTTGCTTCCCAAGTAAGTAGGATTCATACTCACGTGTTAATAGCACTTATGCATCTCTACAGCATTTTGTAAACAACTAGAAAGTGTTATCTTTTATTTCATTAGAAATAATTGTCATTTCACGTTCTTGCTTTCATATGTTTTTAGGTTTATGGTTATGCGCGGACTTTTGCCAAATTAGGGATTGCAAGAGCCCTCACCGACGCATTACAGGCAGGGATTGGCTCAGATAGCTTGGTATCAGCAAGTATTGCCTTAAAATCAATCGCTGTAAACGTAAGTATCCTTGCACGAATCTCTCTTTCATAACATCTAATTGGTTAGTCACTGGAAATACATTTTTTTCTCTGTAAACAGGATGAAATATGTAAATCCATTGCTGAAAGTGGTGGAATAGACACACTTCTTCGATGTATTGATGATAGCGGTGAACAAGGCAACAAGACTGCTGCTAAGACATGCTGTTCCCTATTGTCCAAGGTTTGTAGCTTTTAAACTGTTCTACAACCTTCCTCCGTATAGTCTTGAACATCTTCAATCATTCATAGTCCTGCAAGCTGCCTCTATACTATTGAACGCCTTTCAATTGTTGATAGTTCTGCTTTAGATTTCAGACTTAAGTTTTTGCCACCACTATTAAATAGTGGCTCAACAGAGACAGAGGACTTATTAATGCATGATTTCGAATTTTAAGCCTGAGAAACTTTTGTAAATTACTGATGTAAATTAGTATTGTAATCAAGCCTAAATGTTTGTCTAAATGTGTACTTGAATCTCTAGTTGGCAGGAAGTGACTCTAACAAGAGTACCATAGTTGAGAAGCGGGGCCTAGACAAGTTAATCAAACTCGCACAACGATTCTCGGACGATCCTCTAGTCATACAAGAGGTAAGTAAACCCTCTTACTACATTATGTTCCATCACAGAATTTATGCAACGCCAGTTTTGATCTCCTGTTGTGACCACTGGTCAGGTCTATTGCAGTGTTACACTAGAATAGATAAGAACGTTATGTCGAGTAAAGAGTTTTTATGTGTGCATAATCCTTGTGGTTAACATATACCTGTTTGTTCAGGTCATGTCGATAATCTCAATAATCTGTCTGAGATCACCAGACCACGCAGCCAGTGCTATAGAAGCTGGAGCTGGTGATCTGGCGATCCAAGCTATGAAGAGGTTCCCAGCAGCGGCTCAAATGCAGAGAAACGCTTGCAACATGATACGGAACATTGCTGTAAGAAATGCAGAGAACAGGTAAAAAAAAGTTATATTTCCATTTTTTTCTAAATCCAACAAAAATACACTTATTGCACGAACTGTGATCTGATCATCTTCTGTTGAACGCATTACAGAAAAATTCTGCTTGCCAATGGAATTGAGAAGTTGATAAGGAGTGCTAAGGCCAACAATGAGATATGCAGAGCCTCTGCAACTGATGCACTGAGAGACCTTGGCCTTGATAACTACAATAGCTAAGGTCTATCTTTCCCCATCGCTACATTCATCGTGTCGTTTCTTCTGTGTCATTCAAGCAAAGAGGAAGAATGCATTTTTAAATCAAATTTCGATTAACGGTTTGCATTGAGTTCAGCTTTTGGGTAGAAAGAGCATTCCAACTTAAAACTTTTGCGTCGATTGTATTGTTGGAATAGCTGATGGTGCAGTAAAATTGGAACACTTCTTTTATGTGCTCTGCTTTTCTTGTTTTATTAAAGTCTTTTCTCTGCTGTCACCAACCTTCATATCTCTAGAAGATTGTATTCGGAATATTATGTACGGGAATATATTTTATAAGATTAAAAAAGCCATTGCGTCATGTGGAGACCCATTCACACAATTATAATATTAGGGGGAATGGGCCTATGATGAATGCATCTCTATCAACTTTTAGGTGGAGATCGGACAAAATAGCCAACAATATCTCGACAAATGTGGTAACTTTTATTATTTTATTTTCTTCTTTTTAATGCAAAGTATTGTGTATATACCAAAGAAGAAAGTATTATCTATATTTATATTAAAATACATTGGGTGACATATTGACCTCAAAACACATTGGGAAATGTCCAAGAAATAAAAAAACATGGGGAGGAGCGGCTTCCATAATTATATAAGGTTGTTAATGCGAGTATTTATCATCTCATCAAGCTTCGGGTTCATACAAAACTTATAGATAAACTAACCTAATGTTAAATTATAGTTTGCATTTTTCATTAGTTAACAAAGATAAATCCAACAAACAAAAAAGATATACAAATATTTTGAAATGTAACATTTGTATTTGTGTTTAAAAAAAAAAGCAAATTTGCATTCATTTAATACTCATTTAAAAAGTTTAGATTTTTATTAAAATTTTAACCATTAAAGCTATAATTTGTTGTTTTAATTTTTAAAAAATATTTTTTCTTATAAATGTAATTTAGAAACCATTAAAAAGAAGTTTCAAAAAAGCTATAATACAATAATTTTATTTTTCACTCTTATAGTACTTAATAATAGGGATATGATACAAAAGATAATAAATCTACGTATTTTTTTGTGTGTGTAAAATTTCTATTAGCTAAATTTAGTTCAATGTTTCATGTTTATCCTATCTTACAAAGTGGAAAGAAGGGTAGTTCCGTCATTAAAAACCATCTCCCATATATATATTTTTAACAAATCACATTCCAACAATTCAGGAATTGTGAAAACTCTGTTTTATCTCTCTCCCCTGCCTTTGTTGCTGTATATCTTTCCTTCACGCTGTGGTTTAGACAGAACACAGAGATGCTTTTTAACATTTGCTGATAGAGAGAAACTTAGTTGACCATCACGAGCTTTTCTTTTTCTTCTTCTTCATAATCATCTTCGAATTGAAAACATAAAAGAAAGACAGCGATCAAGCAAAAAAAACAAAAGGATCTCAAGAAACCCACTTGTGTTGTTGGTTAGAGATTTCACGTGTCTCAAAAAAAAAGTCTCTTTCTCACACCCATAAAACTTCATCGTCACCATCGTCACCTACTACCCTTTCTCAACCTCAACGGCTCAAATTCCTCCACGTCAGGTTTGTTAGTAACGTCGAGTCTCTGTTAGATATCTCCCAGAAACATGCTCTGATCTTTCACTTGTGACAGGTTGAACTAGCAGAGAGATACAGTGGAAAAAGGTTACAAAAAAACATGGATCGACCAGCAGTGAGTGGACCAATGGATTTGCCGATCATGCATGATAGCGATAGGTATGAGCTTGTTAAAGATATTGGCTCCGGTAATTTTGGAGTTGCAAGATTGATGAGAGACAAGCTAAGTAACGAGCTTGTTGCTGTTAAGTATATCGAGAGAGGTGAGAAGGTCAGTGTCTTTTCCTTTGGTTTCTTGAATTCAAAAGAATTGTTTTTTTTTGTGTGTGTCTTTGTTGGGTTGGTGTAAATGAAGGAAGAGCATTAATCATGGTTATGAAATGTTTTTGATCATTGATGCTAATATAGAAAAATCTTCGACATATGTGTTACATCATCTTTTTCTTTGTTCTGCTATAGATTTGGACATGATATTAATGCTTGGAAACTTCTTTGAATTTTTTTACAGATAGATGAAAATGTAAAAAGAGAGATAATTAATCACAGGTCATTAAGACATCCCAATATCGTTAAATTCAAAGAGGTTAGGCTTCAACTCTCTTTTAAAATCAAAGCCAGAAAAGAAAAGAGGATGTTCTTGTCTCCTATAAATCTATATATATAAAGGAGAAGTTCCCTTCACCATATGAAGCCACGTCATCACTATTTCAGTTTGCAGGAGAGGCCTCCACGTCATTCTTTTAACATCACGGTTTGCGTTTTTGTTCAACTCTTTTTTTGATGTCGTTTAATTTGTTTGGGCTTAAAAAGATTATGGCCCACCAGAATAGTTCCTCTTTTTTTCACGCGANATATATAAAGGAGAAGTTCCCTTCACCATATGAAGCCACGTCATCACTATTTCAGTTTGCAGGAGAGGCCTCCACGTCATTCTTTTAACATCACGGTTTGCGTTTTTGTTCAACTCTTTTTTTGATGTCGTTTAATTTGTTTGGGCTTAAAAAGATTATGGCCCACCAGAATAGTTCCTCTTTTTTTCACGCGAGTGAAGAAACCCTAATTTCTTTCTTCTTCGCTTTTTCAAAACAGAGCCACTTCTTCATCGCCGTAACACCAAACATTGATGAAGTAACGGGTTCTTTTGAGTTATGGTGGAACAATAAAACTCATTTATTTCTTTCTCCATTGCTCCTCAACTCGCTAGAAGCTTCGATCTCTTCGAATTCTCCATGATATGGATCCTATAAATGGGAGTCCATGGCTGCAGGTTTATCAGAGAATCATTGGATTTCCTCTTGATCCGACAACGACGAGAACAATTTCTGGCGAGCTTCATTTCTGGTGAAAAAGCCGAGAATCTCTGTTTGAGTTGCTCCGCCTTATTAGGTGAAATCGATTACTCTAGATTCTATGAATCCTTGGAAGGATGAATCTTTATTCATGTTTTTTGTTTGTTTTTCATATAATTTTCTTAATTTTCTTGATTCGATAAAAACACATGAACTTGAGACTCTATTCTCAGATCGTAATGAAACAGCTTTTAATGATGAATCTTTATTCACGCTTTTTTATTGTTTGTTGTTCATTTAATTTTGCAGTCCACTCTCATGCCGGCAACTGTGAATCCGACCACGTCTGAAGGCTGGGTCTCTTTTCTCATTGAGCCGGTTCGATGTGGCACGGTGCAACCAGAATTTTACACTAACCGACTCGGCTCTAATGATCCGGTTTAGTGATTCCACTGCATTTGTTGAGTTAGCCGAGCCGGTGGCACCGATACCTGAGGAGCGATTTAGATTCTGTGATCACGATTCCCTGTTCGGCTTGGCTAATACCAATACACAACTCCCAGGTACAAAATATTTTTTATAGTGTCCTTCCAGCCTTATAATTATATGAAGATAATAATCCTTTTCAGTGACTCTCAGATAT